GATTTACTCAGGTCTCTTCTAGGAAATTCCTGACCACAGCATGCTCTGTGTTGAGTGCCTGCCTCCCACTAGATTAGTTTTTCTAATCTCTCTGGAGGGTCTTCAAAGGAATGTCCCTTCTTGCAGACCTTGAGATAGTTTCAATCAAGAACACAGTTATGGCAGCCTTTATGGTGGATAGGATACATCAGTTGGAACATTATAAGTTGGAAGGAGGTGAAGGATGGGGAGGAAGTTTGTAAATTTCATCTTTTACTTTTCTGTGCTGTTTGAATTTTTTCCATTTGAGGTATTCCTTGAGAAATATATACTTGTATAGCAGAAAAGAATGAGTAAAAAATCTCATACACAGTCTCCTTTTGGTTGGATTATACCAACTCACACCCGTAAGAAAGCCTGTGTTATTAACGTTATCTATTCTTTTTGTATTTCCTTTGTCCAGCACAATCATGAGACGGGCTTTGCCTTATTATATCTACTCCTTTGGGGGACTTCTGACCTTTGGGATTCTGTGTTCATCCTCTACCAACAAATGCACTGTTAGACACGAAGTAGCTGACTGCAGTCACCTCAAGTTGACTCAAGTTCCTGATGACCTCCCCACCAACATAACCGTGCTGAATCTTACCCATAATCAACTCCGAAGATTACCCTCTGCCAATTTTACAAGATATAGTCAGCTCACTATCTTGGATGGGGGATTTAACACCATCTCAAACCTGGAGCCAGAATTGTGCCAAAAACTCCCTTTGCTGAAAGTTTTGAACCTCCAGCACAATGAGTTATCTCGTCTTTCTGATAAAACCTTCATGTACTGCAAGAATTTGACCGAGCTCTACCTCAGGTCCAACTCGATTCAGAAAATTCAAAATAACCCCTTTAAAAACCAGAAGGTAAGGTGAAAACGTTCACTATTGTCTGAGACTGAGTTTTTTAGTCATTTCTCCATCCTTAGACTTAGTGTCTAATAACAAGGTAAGAGGAAGAAATCTAATATACCCCAGTTGAGGGTGTGGAGACCCATACACGGATACTGTCATTAGGATTGAAAATGTTTCCAAAAGGAAGAATATAGTTTAGGAACTTAGACTCAGAGGTATAAGTCAGGATCAGAGTCAGAATGCCCCTTAAGAACACAGAAAATAAACTTTCAGTGCTGCTGATTTAGTACGTGAAGTAATGGAAAAAATTGTTGAGTCCAAATTCTGACTTAATGAAGTTAACAAACTGATACTACAATTGACTACAATTTACCTACTCTCAATTTAAGAAATCTCCTCCTGGGGTGCAGTGACTCATGCCTGTTATTCCAGCTCTATGGGAGGCCCAGATGGGTGGATGGCTTCAGCTCAGGAGTTCAAGACCAGCCTGAGCAAGAGCGAGACCCCATCTCTTCTAAAAATAGAAAAAGTAGCCGATATTGTGGTGGACACCTGTAGTCCCAGCTACTCTGAAGGCTGAGGCAGGAGGATCGCTTGAGCCCACAGTTTGAGTTTGCTGTGAGCCATTATGCCAAGGCACTCTACCCAGGGACAGAGTGAGACTCTGTCCCCAATGATAACAACGACAATAACAAAAACAAAAACTCCTCAAAGTATTACTTTTCTAGTAACTGCTACCTTTTTCTTTTTCGGCACTTGGCTTGAATTTTTTAAAAAATTTTTTACCTTTATTTTTAGTGGACATATAATAATTTTTAGATGTTTATGGGAGAAAGAGTGATAATTGAATATGTATCTACACTTGTGTAATCATCAAATCAGGGTAATTAGTGTATCTAATACACTATTAGACACTCTCTAATGTTTGAGGGTATCTATCTTTTCAAATTGTATCATTCCTTTATGTTGTGAATATTCAAAATATTTGAAAATTCAAAATATTTGAAAATGCACAGTTAACTACACTCATTCTGCAGTGCTGCAGAAGATCAGGAAAATGCAAGTTATTGTCTGGAAATTTGAAGCGATTATTAAGTCCTTTTCTTAAATCAAAGTGATTTTCAAGTGTCTTTGTCATCTTCATTTTGTGGCCTTATGAAAATGTGAACATTCCTTCTCCTCAATGCAGAGAAAAATGTACAGATTTAAATATGTTGTGACTGTGATCCCACCACTCTGGGAGGACAAGGAGGGAGGATCCCTGGAGACCAGGAGTCCCAGACCAGCCTGAGCAAGAGCGAGACCCCATCTCTACTAAACATAGAAAAAGCTAGCCAGGCGTGGTGGCGGGTGCCTGTAGAATCAGCTACTTGGGAGGCTGAGGCAGGAGGATCACTTCAGCCCTGGAGTGTGAATTTGCCATGAGCTATGATGCCACAGATCTCTAACCTGGCTGATGGAGTGAGACTCTGTCAAGAAAGGAAGGGAGGAAGGGAGGAAAGAAAGAAGGAAAGAGAAGGAAAGATAACAAATCTAGCTGGGGGTGGTGGCAGGGGCCTGTAGTCTCAGCTACTCAGGTAGCTGAGGCAAAAAGATTGCTTCAGCCCAGGACTATGAAGTTGCTGTGAGCTGTGAAACCGCACTCTACCCAGGTGACAGAGTGAGATGCTATCTCAGGAATTAATTAATTAATATACCATGAAACATTAAATTTGCTCACCAGTTATTTAAATCCTTTCTTGTGCCTGATGTGGATAAAATGCCTTTGGATACAGAGACATTAAAATCTGATTAGAGAGGTCATTGGCAAAACATTATCTTTATTTTTGAAACATAAATAAAAGTCTGGTTCTCTTTAACAGAGATTGCATTAGATTTTGCTCTAACAGATAACCAGCTCTTCCCTACCTAAGTTTGAAATTTCTGTGTTCAAAAGTGACATAGGGTGATAAAGTATCCCCCAGATAACAATTGTGCTAACAAAAGAAAAATTGATATTCTTTACTAGTCATGATTCAAAATTATGTAACTACGAATCTTTGTCAATATGAAAATCTCTATAGGGTTTGGTGCCTTGTAGCTCAGTGGTTAGGGCTCTGTCCACATGCACAGGGGTTGGCGGGTTCGAACCCAGCCTGGGCCTGCTAAACAACAATGACAACTGCAACAAAAAATAGCTGGGTGTTGTGGTGGGCACCTGTAGTCCCAGCTACTTGGGAGGCTGAGGCAAGAGAATCATTTAAGCCCAAGAGTATGAGGTTGCTGCGATCTGTGATGCCATAGCACTCTACTGATAATGAGACTCTGTTTCAAAGGAAAAAAAAATCTCTTTAGGATTTCATAAATCCTAAAGATTTATAGAATTTATAGAATTATTAGATTTATAGAATTTGGCATCTATGACATTTCTTTTTCAGGAATCTTTTTTCCTACTTTTTTCTCTTATTTGTTTTCAGGGCTAATGCATGACAGTCTGTTTGATAAGCAACACTAAATTATAAATAAGCAATTAAATTATGAATATTCCTTATATTATAAACAAATAAGCTTAAATCCTTTTTATTTTGGTGAGAGAAATAAAGTGATGCTTGAAGTAAGAAACTAAATCCTTGCAACAGGGATTTTTTATTTTTTTGAGACCAAGTCTCACTCTGTCACCCTGGGTAGAGTGTCAGGGTATCATCATAGCTCACAGCAACCTTAAACTCCTGGGTTCAAGCGATTCTCCTGCCTCAGCCTCCTGAGTAGCTGGGACTGTAGGTGTCTGCCACAAAGCTCAGCTAGTTTTTTTCTATAGTAAAGATGGGATGTTACTCTTGCTCAGTCTGGTGCCAACTCCTGAGCTCAAGCAATCTAACTGCTTCTGCTTCCCAGAGTGCTGGGATTACAGGCACAAACCACTGTCTGGCCTTAATAGTGGTGTTTTTAGAAGGTTTTAACCTTCACAGCAAAGGTTATTTATCACTCCTGTTGTTAGCTTTTTAGAAAATAAGAAAGAGGTGACATTTACTGTCGAGCTATTTCTAAGATTCACCTATACTTATGAAGGAACCGTTTCCGACAGTGAGACTCTAACATTCACATCTTTTTTTTCCTCTCAGAATTTAATCAAATTAGATCTATCTCACAATGGTTTATCATCTACAAAATTAGGAACCCAGGTACAACTGGAAAATCTCCAAGAGCTTTTATTATCCAGCAATAAAATTCATGTCCTGAGAAGTGAAGAGCTTGATTTCCTTGCCAATTCATCTTTAAAAAAATTAGAGTTGTCATCAAATCAAATTAAAGAGGTAAGAGAGAGGTAAAATCATTTTGCGTTAACCTTTAAGCATTGGTAGTTCCTAACTCTTGCACAAATCGGAATTTAAAGCTCCTCAGATTCAGGACCGTTAGCCTTTGTCACATCTACAAATTCTTCCTATCTACTGCTCAGGGCCATTGGTGTTATCCTCTCGGGAGAGTTTGGGCAGCTGTCCGGAGATGTCAGGAGGCAGGACCTGCTGTCCATCATCCCTGGCTTTACATCCAGCTCTCTGACCTTGGGGAACCTCCCTGAGTCTTGGTTCCCCTCTTGTAAAATGGAAATAATAGCAGCCTATTTCACAAAATCTTCAGAAGAATTAAAGTAGTATGATAGTCGGGAGTGCAGGGTTAAGAGTTGGGTTAGCTCGCTCCCTCTCTGGGCTTTATCTTTTAACATTTGTGTAGTCGGATAAGTTATTCAAGTTCTCTCTAATCCAGTCCCCCGCCTTTCATTTTCAAATTGGCAAAGTAATAATACTACTTCATAGAACAGTATGGTGAAGGATTTAGTACTTTCTGGCAAATAGTAAGGGCACAACAAATGATAAATAGCACTGTGTTATTCTAAAAACCTGCCTGTGGGTCTGGTACGGTGGCTCACGCCTATAATCCCAGCACTCTGGGAAGCTGAGGTGGGTGGATTGCTTGAGCTCAGAAGTTTGAGATCAGCCTGAGCAAGAGCAAAACCCCATCTCTACTAAAAATAGAAAAACTAGCTGGGCATTGTGATGAGTGCCTGTAGTCCCAGCTACTCAGGAGGCTGAGGCAGGAGGATGGCTTGAGCCCAGGAGTTTGAGGTTGCTGTGAGCT